CGAACCACCTGGACACTTTACGCGTCGAGGTTGCGGTCTCTCCCATCTTTTTTTTTTTTTCTGCTGTTTCTCTCCCCTCCTCTGCGAGTGCTTCCAAGGGTTGCTTGCTGGGTTTGGAGGTCGCGCGCCGGAAGCGCCAGCTGCTGCGGCCTGCCACCTGCAGCAGGGAGAGCAGCTGAAGTGGAAGCAGACAGTTCGCTATTCATCCCCCCCAAACAGCCGACTTTGCTGCTCTGAAGCCGTCCACACAGGGCCGATTGCCGTGCCATGGATGCATGGCATGGCTGGTGGGTGATGTGGATGGGTGAGGAGGCGACCACCGACCTCGCGTACAGATAGCGCGCATCCTGCATAGTGCATGCGCCTATTCTGTACGTACAGCTAGCTAGCAGCAACCAGGCACACCACCACCTCCTCCTCCAACGAGTTCATGTTGCGATATCACAGCTCTTGTTAGCTGCCTGTCCACTTCAACTACCACCAGCGCTAACATCATGACCTTATTTTGACCCGACACCGACAGAGGCCTCAGGACAAGGTGCGGGATATCAGAAACCCCTGCATCCTTTTTCGAGTCATTCCTAAACACCTGCATCTCTTGAGCCATTCTGTTCCGACAACACCTCGACGAGACGCATCAACTGACTGACGACGGATACCGACAACTGGAGAAACTCGGCCACATTGATTCTGGATGCTACCCAACACTCTATTCTGACTGTTTCCCTCTCTCTTCTGCTCCACAATTATCTCTCATCCCCATGCCATCTGTGCTACTGGGGTTGTGACTTGGTTCCTCCCTCGTTCCTGCTCTCTCTCCGTGGTACCCCCCGCCATCCTCCATCGGCCAACGGTCCCAGTCGTCGTTCAATCTGTCGTGCTCGTCCCGCCGTCGCCCAATCCCGTCGCCGCCTCACTTTCATCAACAACACCCCGTTCCCCTCCAGTCAATTACTCGCCTTGACGGTTCGCCTGCCATTCTTCGAGTCGCGCACATCAGCTACGCAAAAGCGCACGCGTTTATAAAAAGAGCACCCTATCGCCAATTCATCGCCGTGCTGCTCACATAACTTCTTCCGTGTTTGGGTGGGTGCATTTGCTTTCCAGGTTGTTGCGTCGGCCCTGAGGATTCCCCCGGTGGGCTTGCGAATGCCGACTTCCAGCCTGGACATACCGCATCCCGCATGCCGTATACCTTGCCTTGCCGGTCCGGACAGCACAGGATAGGACAGAGCTAACATTCGCACCAGCTGCCATGTTCTAGGTCTCTCGGATTGCGACCCAGCTGGGCCCTGGTTTGGGCCGCCTAGCGATTTCTCTCTCTCTCACTTCTCGTTTCACCAACTTCCTCTCTTCAACATCCCGAGTCAACATCGTCGCGCGACCGATATACCATCTTCATCCCAACATTCCACCTTTCGCCTACTTACCAGCGCCATCCCCGTCGCCGCCGCCGCACCGATCACCCAACCTCTCCGATGAATATCACTGCCGCCAATGGCAGCAACACCGTTCGATGCTCCTCTCCCGGGCTCATCCTTCTTCGACATTTACACTGATGGCGCTCCCCAGCGCTCCCCAGTCTCCCTTCCCGGAGGAGGCTGCAACTACGTGGACTTGACGCCCGGCGCCAATGGAGCCAAGTGTGGATGCCGTCGTTTTTGGAGTCGCTTTGCCGCAGGGAGAGCATACGCAGATACCCTGGGCGCTGACAACTCCGTCTGGTGCATGTGCTCCCATCATGCTTGCTATCACGACGATGGCGGTCGCGCTGGGAGCGAAGCGCCGGCGCCTGCGCAGACTCCCACCGCCGCCAATGCGCCCGCGCTCTTCGCCGCGCCCGTTGCCCACATCACCGGACAGGAGAACGAGAAGCCGAGGATGTCCAGGGAACCTCTCAGTCCGGTCCAGATGCCCGAGATGTCTTTCCGCATGCCCGCTGGATTTACCCCGACCATGGAGTTTATGAACCTGGATGCCGCCATGGCGATGCCCCCTAACAAGCCCGAGGAACCACCCAGGCCTCGGCCTCTGGACCAACCCAGCCAGCGCCCGGAGTCTTCTTTACAGGATACGTTACCCTGGGGCGATTTCATACAGTCCCAGCCTGGAACTAATACCACGTTGCCGCCAATACCAGCTCAATGTCTAATGCCATCTCAGGCGAGCTCCACCACCTCCTCCAGCCAGGCCCGCTACCTTCGTCCCTTTGCCGGAAGGGGTCTTCAGACACTAAGTGGTGTTACTTCTAATCCCAGGACACCGCGAAAGGACAGACTCCAGGATGCCGGATTTACGTTTGCTCAGCCGGATTGCCAGTCTACCAAAGATGATGGCGCAACTATTCCTCACAGTGACAGCGGCGCAGAGACACCTAGAGCGCAGTCCCCAAGACCCATGGAAAAGGTAGACGCCTTGTTTGCAGGACCATCCCGCGAAACATTCCGCCATTTATCAGATACCGTTCAGGGACATGAGAGCCGCCTGGAAAAGCTGGAAAACGTTTCCTTCTCTGCAGCTGGACATGATGAATGCCATGACAAGCATGATGCTGTCGACCTTCGCGTCACCGATCTCGAGGTGCGCATGGAGGAGGTTGAGAAGGTCATGAACGATACCAGCAGTCTTGTCGGCCGTCGCGACCGGCAGAATGTCGATGAGTCGACCAACAGTGTCGTCTCCGTCGCGACAAGCACAACATCCCGCGCCGCCCACTCACATGAGATGCTCAGTCAAATCCAAACCTTACGATCACAGCTCTTCCAGCTTCAGTCGCAAATACCGTCACCAGCCCGGCCATGGGAGGTTGAAGTTGTCTTCATGCCATTTCCTCTCAAGCGCATCTGGCAAGAGCTTCAAGATTTCAAGGCTGACGTTCACTCTAGCTTGGATGAGTGGACACAGCTACCCAACACTAACAGCGGTTTGACAATGAGGGCCCAGTCTCCCTTCTGCGCGGAATGGGCCGCTCCGGGCCATGACCACGAATGGCTCATGGCCAAGGCGTGCGGCCCAACGAGCGTCATCGACAGACGACTAAGGAGTCGCGGCCTCATACGGACCATATCCATCAAAGGCACCGACGCCAGGAGCGTTCAGGCAGCCATGCATGCTGCCTTCTCAAACACATTTACCGACTTTTCGGTCGCTACACCATCACCCTCTCGCCGGCGGAGCTTTGATGGAAAGGCTGATCGCTTCTTGGGCCTGCAGCAATCATGGGTGCCTCTCCGCAAGGTCCACAAAGATTCTCGCCTCCGTTTCTTGACGCCAGCAGAGATGATCACTCCCGCTATATGGGACGTGTCGTTCCTCCACTCTGTCGTCATGCGCTCCTCTGAGCCTCGTCTGTTTATCACTCAGCCTGAAGCTTACCTGCAGGACTTGCAGGCGTTTGAGTCCGGCTGGACTTGGCAACGTCTTCGGGAAACAAGCCGCTTTTATCCCGATTCTCAATCGACGCAGGAGGTTCCTGAAGCGGATGCCCGCGAAGACTACTGGGCATGGAATGATCATTTGGACGAGGTCCCCAGTTCTCAGTCGTCGTTGAGTATCCGACAAGCAAGGCAGAGGGTGTCAGCCTCCCCTTCGCTTCACCACATCACGATGCAATCGTCTATGCGATCATCTAGTCCGATGATGACTCGTGGCCAGACTCCTTTGAGAGAGACTATGATGAGGGAGCGGAAGGGTTCAAAGCCGCCCTATATCCGCACCACCTCAATGCCGCCATCAGTCCCTGCGAACTACTCACCAGCCTTCACTAAGCGGCGCGTGTCGTCATTTGGGCAACGACAGCTGGCCGCTCAGATCCGGACCAGTCCTCCGAACATGGCGGCAGCGACAGCATCAGCAATGTCAAATGCTTACAAACGTCGGCGGACTCGTTCGCCTAGTCGCCCTCGTAACACACCTCGCTGGACCATCTCGCCCAGCCCTGCGCCCGGCTTCATCCCCGCCGACGAGCGCCATCAAACCGGTCGTGGAATTACGCCGATGTACTACGCTACCCCGTACAGCAACGCGCCGCTCACGGAGTCACGCCCACGTGTTTCCGGCGGTGTAGTGGAAGATTCCAATACGGAAGACGACGTGCAGGATGACGAAAACCTAGACCCGGATTACGGGAGCACCAACCCTTATGATGAGGACGGCAGCGACTACAGTGTCGAGGTGACTCACATGGTTACAGTGCGTGACGGTGACTCATCGCACCCGCGGCAGCCTGAGGATGAGCCTTGGCCTGGTATCGAGGACCAAGATCACATGTCGGATGGGGAGAACATCGATCCACTCTTCTCCCCTGCAGTGGGTGCTAACGACGACGCTCAATCCGATGTGAGCAGCCAGCCGTCTGAGTACCCCAGCACTCAGCGTGGCTGGCAGGTCCCCGGTGCCGAGGACGGGATCGGTTTCCGTATCCACGAGGATAACGACCGCATACATGGTGGTTGGCACTAAGTTGCAACATTTCATTTACGTTTCATCTTATTTCCCATTTATCTTGATGAGATGACGCAGCGTGTTTGGGAGTTCAGGTTGTACATCGATCATATGCGTTGGCATATGTCATGGGGGTTTCCGGAGTCTTGTTATCTATGGCATGGCGTTCAGATGACGCATCTTTCCATTATTTTTCTTTCTCGGATCTTGTCCGGGGGGTGGCCGGAGCGTTGCTCATAGAGTGGTCATGATGAAGGCGACGTTATCGGGCTGGGAGAATGGAGCGTATGGTTTGATGGCGGTTGAGTGACTGGATAGATCCGTCGGGGAAAAGTTATGGTGCCATCTCGTACAAGAGCGTCGCTATGCCGAGCGAACTTGGATAATTTGCGCTCTCGGCTTTGAAGTTTGATGTATAGCTAGATAGCGACAACTCCAATATATATATACTTGTCAATCACTTACTGGGTCCACATCTTGTCACTCTCGCTTCTGTCCGCTGTTCACCGCTGCATCTTCTCATGGGTATTTTTCATAGTGGTACACGCCTACATCCATCAACTTCCCCCATAAACTAGTTGCTGCATCTCAGATTCCAGGGGTTTCAGAACCTGGTCCTCTATCGCCTGTGTGAACTCGGCGTTTTCGAATGATGCATCGGGATCAACGTAGCATTGCAGACAGAACTTGATGGCGCTCTTGAATCCATGAGACAGCTGGCCCTTGCGAGATTTGCTGTTAAACCATCTCTGGGCCGTCAGCAGATCCGTAAAGGCGTTCGGCTGCCCATCCGCCCCCATGTCCGAGGCTTGCCTCAGATTCTCAATCGGCACTCCGAAGTTGAGTTCCAGTAGCATAATGGCGAGTGCAAGCATGTTCTGCTGGTTTCGTGTTGTGTCATCTTCCTCACTGCTCAACTTAGCAGCATCTGTAACTAGGTTAGAATATCAAGGCTAGACTATTGGCGGCCCGATTTCTCACCTGCATTATACCAGTGTGTTAAATAAGGATGTTTGATGTCTACCGCTGAGTGAACACCCCGTTCCGATCGCAGAAAGATGATGCTTCGCCGGTTCCAAGGCATGTTCAGCCACGGGGTTTCTCCAAGTTGTAATACAGAGGAGACTAGGGTGACGACGAGGCAGTAAAAGTCCGGCATCGAGTGCTCCCTCTGCTGAATCACTGACAGGAACTTATCCATCGTAACGTAGTTATTGACGAGGGAGTGAGGCTGGGTTTCTATCTCATAAAGTCCACGAAGTTTGCCGGAGCCGTCTAATCTGAACCCAACTTGGGGGTGGGCGGCCCCGTGTATGACTTTGCAGATGTCGTGGATTTCTAGTCCAGTATTGTAACCTGGTAGGTCTGGTTTCTCGGTGCCTTCCAGTGTTGAAACTGAGAATGATACCTTTGGCCCATTTGGCCTTCTAGACATCTGTCAGCATCTTCCCGCAATGACTAAAAAGAAAACCATAATAGTCCTACCCATAATTATCATCGTCATCTATGTTAATCTCTGTGTCGAGCCAGGCTGTCCCAGGGCATCTATACACAGAGACGCAGAAGCGTCCCAATTTTCCTACATCCTTTGGCATAGCCTGCCTCAATGTTCTTTTCCGCCTTTTCAAGCGTTGCTCTAACAAAAGCCCTGCTTGATGGCACTCGTGATCCATACAGAATTTCGCGTCCAGGCCGCGATGAACGAGGCAGGCATTCGATCGTATGCCTTTCAACGATCCTACAAAGCGTATACGAGCCCTTGAAGACGCCCCTACGTCGTCTTGTATGGAAGTGATCTTATCCGCCACCTCCAGGAGCATACGCAGCTTTTCGTTGTCTTCTTCGATGGTCTTTAGGCTTCTAATCACATCCCGGCGCTTCATGGTGAAGTCGACACGTTTTCGAAAATGGAACCGGGAGCCACCGTCAGTGGTGTTCAACTCCGGCGGGTTGGCGGAGACTACGGCTTGAAGGCCCTCCTTTCGTATCTTTCCGGTACAAGTCAGCCGAGCTCTCCACAAACTTGATATGGTCATATGTCAAACCCTGTCTGAACCCTCGATATTGAGATTCGCGGCTATTGTCTCGAGCGTTCCTGCGATATTCTTTACCAGACCCATGCATGGATCGTATGCACGGCCAAGTTCGATCTTCATGTCTTCGGCGAATCCTTCGGACCTCCAGATCTGGCTTTGTGGATCTGTGACCATCTGCTCTAGGTCATCACTGCCGACGGCTCTGAGCAGCATTATCCGCAGGTTCTGGTCATATGAGGCGCGCTCGGTCACCAGGCGTAATATAACGGTTCCGAGTTCACCTCTCCAGTTTTTGAACCTGACTACCGGGCCTATGATATCCTGATAGTGCTCCAGAGCGGATATAAGTAGAGGCACGGCTCCGAGCACGATACCCGCGACTTCGGCCATTTTGTCGTGTGAGAAGATTGAAAAACCCGATCTTCGAAAGTAATCGGGACAATCTCTAGGATGATTTTACGTTTGTTAAGAATGCTAATACCCAGATGATTCTGAGTTGAAGCGAGCGCAATCCCCGCAAACGTGGGCACCCTATCAGAAGTGCTGTTGGTACAGCCTTGCAGCACAATTCAAGTAATTGGGTCACACAAATCCTGTCACACAGAAATCTGTGGTAATTATTGGAACTAGTCCAAATCTGTCTGTCATCTGATGCAGAGGCATTGCGGGTTATCAATCCCCACTCGCCTGTCTGTTGCTCAGAATCGATCATCGCTGAGTCGCATCTACGAAACGATACAATCCACTTCTGAGTGTTGCTTTCGACCATGTGTCGCGCTACATGATACGGACTTTCCAAGCAACATATTCGGTATGGACAACCCACATCCAGATGTGCAAGCGGTGTTCCCACTGTCAGAGGCAGCCAAGAAGTGTATGGACGCGTTCAATCGCCTCACAGCGAGCCTGGAAAGCCCGAATGAAAACTCTGAGGAAAAACTTCATCCTGCTGTGGTAAAACATCAGCGCGATCGTTTCAAGATTTGGGCAACAAACCTCGGAGCCCTTCAACGTGGACGAGCATCCTTGGACTTTCGCTTGAATGAGAGTTCGCTCACGAAAACAACTGTCCTGAGATTTCTTGACCAGCTTCAACAAGTCTTATTGCAAAGTGAGAATGACCACACCCCTAAATGCCGCAATTCCAACTTTTGGGACTCCCGCTTGCACGGTTGTGTAAGTTTACGAAGGAATGTAGTTGACAAGGTGTTGCAGGCGACGAAGTGGTTCAAGGACTCAGATTGCCATTTGAGAAAACCATCGAGTCCGATTCAGATGACTCGGACGAATCGAGCATCGATAGTAGCTCCGAAAGCGACGTCCGAAGCAATGAGCTCAATACGCGGACTGAGTTGGGCCAGAACACGGCCGAAATCGACCAAATTCTCTCATCACTCGTCAAGCTGTCCTTCCGCATCAGAGGGCCTACCTCTAGAACAGCGCAAATAGACGCGAGGGCTATGAGCCACAAGGAGATGGTTTCTGTTGAACACTCAGAGCCTGTTGATCTGATGTTTTCTTATGAAACTTTTGATAGGCAGTACGTGGATGAGGTGTTTCGACAATTTCACAGGGAAGCTTTCGAGGGGGGCGCCGCCCAGGCATCCGATGCGGCTTTCGTCGACGAAAGCAATTCAACTGGAGAAGCGAAGAACAGCGCCAGCTATTTGAAAGACATTTGGGGTAAGTCGATCACCAATCGGCGACGGATATTTGCCTACTGGCGTCGGCACGCCAGGAAGCTAGCCAAAGAAGAGCCAACGGCCCGACCCAGAGAGATCGCAATCCGACAGTCCCAGCCTCTTCCCATGGCCTCCGAGCCCGCACGCGTGCCCGAGGCCTCTACATTGTTGCAAAACCTTGCCCCCTCTCAGGTGCCGAGCTCTGCCGTCCGGACTATGCTATCCGGAACGGAAGCGACCATGTATCGTAGCGACGATGTGGATCTCGACACTGGTTCGGTAGTGTCCTACGCCTCAACTGCTTTCGATGCCGATGGAATCTCTTCTGAGCTTCCGCCCCCACCATCAATCAAGCCGGGACATACAGAGTTCGTATGCTCAGTCTGCCACGTCCTATGTCCAGCACGAGACGCCAAAGGCAGACGATGGAGGTTAGTAAACGAGGACACTTGATGCACCATTAATTATCAGCTACTCTATCACGGCATACTAGTCACGGAATAAAGCGATGACTTGCTAACAGATCTTCTAGGGAGCATATTGTACGAGATATCCAGCCATACATGTGTACCTACGATGACTGCACTGAGGCCGAGACGATGTATCCCAGTAAAGCTTCGTGGTTAGAGCACGAAGCCAAGGCCCATCGTCGGGTTTGGCGCTGTTTTGAGCACAAGGACTTGTTCAAATCGCGGTCTGCCTTGGTCAGACACTTCGAAGTCTCGCATCCGAACCTTAGCGAGGCGCAGATCCAGCATATGTCTGAACTTGCCGTTGTCAGTACCAAGGATGAACGTGTGGTCTGCCCGTACTGCCAATCTCACGGACCGTTTGAGAGTAATCTAGCCGATCACATAGCTTTACACATGGAGCGAATGGCTTCTTTTGCCGTGCCCAGAAGCTCGGGTGAAGAAGACGACTCGACTCATGGAGGCAACTCTGGAGCTGCTCAAGGTGCACGTTCTGCAGCGTCTCTTCGGTCTGTCAGCCTGAGATTCTCGAGCAGTCAAAGTGATCAATCCTCTGGCCATACCCTTGATATCAATCAGGACGACAAAGCAAGTGCGTTCGAAGATGCAGACGCTAGCAGCGAGAATAAACCCCCGCCTCGTTCGACTCAAGATTTGTTAGGCCCTGACCACGACCGGAAGTCCTTTGAAGAACACCTCCAGAAGTATCATCCAGGAACCTGCGAGTGGTTTTTGTGCTCAGAAAGATACAAGGAGTGGGTTGACACGCCAGGAGAAACGCTCTTCTGTCCTGGACTGCCGGGAGCTGGCAAGTCAGTTCTGTCGTCAGTGGTGTTTCAAGACCTTCAACAGACAATCCAGCAGTTTCATCCCGCTGCGATACTCGTGATATCTGGGGAGAACTACGGGGCGGAGAACGACATGGTGAACTTGTTGCGAAGCCTGTTGAAACAACTCTTTGAAGCGTGCAAAGATCGAGGCTTTGCCCTTAATCGCAGGCCTGAGGACTTTGACACGAGTCTAAAAGAGACGACTTCCCTTGATTTGTTACGCACTGCCCTTCAGGAAATGGTGACTGATTTCTTCAGGGTATTTATCATCATCGACGGATTCGATTTAATTTCTGATAGTGACTCTGGGAAAGCCACCTTTATCAAATTGTTATGGGATATCACGCAGGGAAGTTTCACAAGCATTCTAGTAACGTCAAGAGATACTCCAAACATTCTCAGGCTGTTCAAACGCAGCTCAACACAGAGAATCGAGGCTCCAGCTTGTGATATGGAGGGGTATATTCGGAGTGCTCTGAAGAAGGCCGCGCGAAAAATACCGCCAGAAAAGTTTGATGATTTAGCGGCCATGAACCTAATAAGAAACGCGACATACTATTCAAACGGCGTGTGAGTTGCTCGTGGTTCTTTCGTCGCAGTCTTTCTGACATTTCTAGATTCTTGGCTGCTCGCAACTATGTGAAATCCCTTACTTTCGACATTGAAAACGGTGTACATCTGGACAGCATGCAGCTCGATCTTATGATGGACGACTTCTATGAGGAAACCATAGACCGCATACTAAGCCAGAAGAGGCCAAAGGCGCCTATTCTTCTGCTAGAGTTCATGTTACGCTTTGACCGACTCAAAACTGAGGAGTTCATGCATCTACTTGACATCGGCCCAGGGTACAACAGATATCGCCGCGAAGAAATCGCAGCTAAGACTATCTCCTCCTGTGCTGGTCTTGTCGTCGTTTCTGGCGGTTATCTCGAATTCTGTCATCCCACAATATCAGGGTCTCTCTCAACATTGCGCTTTAAATTCGAAAGAAGCGCGGTAGTGACCTCATCACTACAATGCATCGAGTATCTTTCAGTAACCGGGGTCAATCGCGGGCCAAGCAAGACAGACTTTGACTGGGAACAACGGTTGAACTCTGAACCATGTCTTCCTCTCGTGGCAAGGTCGTGGGGCACATTTGTTCGAGAAGCGTTGAGCGACTTGAGCGACGACACGCATGATGGACGGGCTATACTGAAGCGTTGCAAAGAATTTTTCAGCGGCAAAGAAAGGGTGCAAGCAGCTATTCAAGCCTTGATACTGACGGAACGCGCCCCTAGCGGTCCGGGGTACTCCCAAAACTACCCGCACTCATGGACTAAGTTACATTTGGCGACGTACTTTGGGCTCACCCAAATCTTGCAGGTGATGCTGAAGGAGGCCAACGAGGATACCAGAGAGTGGCTGAACTGGGCCGACGACGACTCCCTGGTTTTGTTAGCAGCAGAACAGGGCCACTTGTTCACGCTGCAAGAACTCCATCGCGCTTGGGACAGGCCTGGTCAGACATTCAAGGCTGGCGACGGCGACCGAGCAGTATCGAAGGCAGCTCGGAATGGGCACGCAGATGTGGTGAATTATCTGGCAAGTGTGGGCGTACTCTTGACAGCAACGCCTCTACGCCTCGCGGCTGAGAATGGCCACATGGACGTCGTAAAGATTCTGCTCGAGCGCGGTGCGCCGGTCAACGCAAATGCTAGGGAGGCGCAGCCGCTGCATGGGGCTGTCACTGCAGGACACGTGGAAATCGCGCAGGTTTTGATCGAAAGCGGCGCGGATATCAACTACAATAATGGCGAGTTTCTTTCCATCGCCGCTGAAAGGGGGAACGAAGCCATGGCCGAGCTGCTCCTCGCGAATGGAATCGATGTGAACGGCGCAAGCCCAACAGCAAAACCAGCGCTTTCCTACGCGATTCAGACCAAGAATATCGACATTGTAGATCTTCTGCTCATCTACGGCGCGGACCCTAACCGAACGGGTTGGTATCTGAGCCCGATGGACTATGCGATTGAGACTGGGGATGATGAACTTATTCGAAAGATAAGGGAGGCAAAGGAGAGATTCGACAGTGTTAGGTCAGCCAAAGAAGATGACCTTGATCGAAGTATCAAGGAGGCCAAAGAGAAATTCGACGGTAGTGATTCAGGTCAGAAGAATAGCCTTATTCGAATGATGATGGAGGCCCAACAGAGGTGGAGTAGTCAGAATTCTACTCAGGAATAGAAGAAACGTGGAGTCATTGACAGATTTGCAAGTTCCTGGTTTGAATGGCTAGAAAGGCAGCCTCATCATCCTGCTTGGAAGTCATGTATTTCTCTTCAGCTATGAGTGATTTTGACACCTCTACACTAGTCCAAGATCCTTCTCAACCATGCCACGGCAGATGGGGTGGTAAAAATCACGGTTTTTCTCAAAGGTCTTGAGCGCAAGATCGCGGTCGACCTTGTTCAGCGAACGGAACAGAGGCCTGACGAACTTCATGCGGCCGACGTGACCAAGAAGCTCAGCGGCGCCAGCGTATGAGGATGAGTCTTGGGCTGCCAGGGCGATCTTGTAGTAGGCAGTCTTGAGCTCAGCGTTGCGCGACGAGACGAGGTCGTATGTCTTGCCGAGCAGGCGGGCGCGGTCGGCGGACAGGGGGCTTGGGAACTTCTCGATGGTCTCGAGGAGGACGAGCTTCTGGTTTCCGGAGAATGAGGCGACGTCATCGGCAGAGGGAGTGAACTTCTGTTCAATCATTAGTACCGTGTGAGAGACGTGGACTAAAGTAGACTTACCTCGTCCTTCCAGTTCTCCGCAAGCTTGTAGCACACATCCGCCAGCGAGGTGTCAAACTCGGGCTTAGGGGGCAGACCAGGCTGGTAGAACCACTTATCCCAGTCAATGGAGGCGACCTTGTCCTTGATCTCCGCATCGCCGAGGTCGTTGAAGAAGGTGAGGAAGGTGTCCTTGAACTCGAAAGAGTCGAGGGACTTGCGAGACCACTTGGTGAAGTAGTGGGGGATGAACTTGTCGAAGGCGTCGCGGCCAACGAGGCGCTCGAGGTAGTAGAGGAAGTGGAAGCCCTTCTCATAGGGGACGGTGCTGAAGGCGTCATCGGGGTCGATGCCCTTGTGGTTGATGATGAGCTTGGTGAACTCGGAGTCGTTGCCGAAAAGGGCGACGGCGTCCTCTGATATATGTTAGTGAGTGAGATCTCATGTGAGACTAGATAGAGAATCCATACCCAGAGCCTTCCAGCCGATGATGGCAGAGAAGTCACGCTCAGTATCACCGTGAACAGCCATGCCGATTCTGCGCTCAAGGTAGGTCGTCCAACCCTCGTTCAACCAGCTATCCACTCATTAGCATCTCATCTCATTTCATGTGAACCAGCTCACTTACAAGTGCTCCCAGCTGCAGCTAGTGACCAAGTTTCCACTCCACGAATGGCTCAGCTCGTGAGCAATAACATCCACGTTCTGCTTGTCACCGCTGATGATGGTCGGCGTCGCGAACGTGTAGATGGGGTTCTCCATACCGCCGTAGGGGAAGCTGGGCGGCAGAACCAGCACGTTGTACTGGCCCCATCTGTAAGGGAAGACAAGCTTCTCCGCGACCTCCATGAACTTCTCCATGTCGCCCTGGAGCTCCCACTGCGACTCCTTCAGCTCATCGGGTCCCGTTGCAACAATACTGCGCGGTCCAATGTCCGCCGTCGCGATATCGCCAGACGCCAGCGCAAACAGGTACGACGGGATCGGCACCTTCTGCTCGAAGCGGTACACCGTCTCGTCGCCCTTCTTCTCCGGCTCGCCCTCGACAGCCACGCCGGACGCAACGACCGGCAGCGGCGAGGTCAGGACAAAAGTGTACGTCGACTTGACGTCGGGGGTGTCCTGGCACGGGAACAGCGAGCGCGCGTGGATGGCCTGGCACTGCGAGAACATGTACGGGTGCTTCTTGTTGCTCGTCTGGGCGGGGGTGAGCCACTGCAGCGCGGTGCACTTGTCGGTGGTCGACAGGTCGACGTCGACCTTGACGATCTCGCCCTTTGCCGCGCCCTGGGGCACGAAGACGTGCAGGGGAGCGCCGTAGGGCTCGACGCGGTCCTTGAGCTCATAGGTGGAGGTGGCGGCGTTGACCTTGACGCCCTTGATGGAGAGGAAGCTGGAGTCGAGGACGATCTCCTTGCTCTCCTTGTCGGTCAGCGACTCGAGCTCGAGGGTGACGGAGCCCTTCAGACACTTGTCCTTGAAGTCGATGGTGAGGTTGGCGGTGGTGTGCTTGGTGAGCCACGCACCGTAGTTGGAGAGGGTGTTGGGGTCTCTGTTGGCGGCGGCCATCTTGGCGGTTGTAGCAAAGGCGACGGCGCGGCTTGCGGGGTTGGCAACGCGGGTGAAGGCTGTTCTGAGCGGGATCGAAGCCTTTGAGACAAGGGATCGCCACATGTGTGTTGAATTGGCACTGCGGAGCAAAACCAGGCTCCAGATTTTGATATCTCCAACTCCTCTCGTGATGTCGTTGGGAGGACTTGCCAAATTGGGACTAGAGTTTCGAGCTCCAGCCACAGCTTGCTACAGAAGACAGGGTAAGCAACGCCACAGAGTGCGCCACATGCAGATCCATCTCTCAAGAAGATGCCCCTGCTGCCTCAGGTTCCACATTGGGCTGTTTGTTTCAGCGAGCGAGCTCAGTACCACTCTTCACCATCGTCCCAAACATCCCACGAAAGGCTTGTGGGCTTCCGGAATCCCCTCGTCCTGCCTGTGGTGAACACCACAATCGAGATTCAACTTTCGTCACACACACACTTAGACACATCCTCAACACGAGATGCAACTCACGTCTCGATGACGGCTATCAGTTTCTTGGCCTAGCTCCAGGTACACGCAACTCAACTCAATCACACCTCGATAAGCTCACACAAGCCCAACACGGGGTATCTGTGTGATTCAGCCATCGTCGAACCTGCAGCACGGGACGGCCAACATCCTGAAACCAGCACTGCCTGTCCGAGATGGGATCTCCCTGCGTGACGTAGGAATCTTCCGTGTGGGTGTCCCAGCCGTTTCTCCTGCTGGGTGCATCCGACTTGCTGGCCTTCCCTCCTTCCACCCTGGGCCTGGTTCATACACACCCTCACAATGCTGCTTCTGCTTCGCCGCAGGAACGCACACGCCAGAGGGAAAGAAAAGACGACGGCGTCAGAACAATATCTCCGTAGCTCCAAGGGTGAGAAACCAGATGAAAAGTCTCCTACCTTCGCCTAGCACCAGCAAACCTGGACCTGGGTGCCGGAAACCCCAGCACCTGGGCAGAATAGTTCGTTCGATGTATGTTTGGTCCAGAGTATTCAAAAGGTTTCGAAGCACACAAAACGGCCCAGCTCCTACGTCCGGAGGCTGTCGCTCCATGTTGCAGGGTAAAGCCTGGGGGAAACATTCAAGCAAGCTCAGCGCCCCTGAGGTAGTGAGGCCCCAAGACGCGCGATGGCAAGCCAGAGAGGCTTGACAGTGACGCTCGATTTGGGTTGTCACGATGCAGCACGCGCCGCCTCCTTTTTTTCCCATCATATTTTTTTACCGTTCCTTCTCGGCTTTCATTCCCTTCCCTTCACCTCGCATACGGGCCCTGGCCCGATCTCTGAATAGCCGGCCGCGCTGGCCACCCACCTGCTGGGCTCGCGATTCCGCGGCCGCATTTTGGGACGAGCCATCCTTCGGCGGCCTGCCCTTTTTTGACGTCTGACATCCCAACGATCCGTTCTCGCCTGCGCGAACCGTTGGCTATTTTTTCTTCTGCCAGGAGAAAAAAGAGAGCCAGGGTCATATGCATCCGCAGCCGTGGGTACTGCTGCTCGGCGCTCGCAGTCACACCGGCGTGGGCGTGGCATATGGCGTGAGCTGTGGATACGGCTTCCAACGGTTCACCTTTCCAGGGCTCCGCGGGTTCGTGGCGTCCTCCGGCCAAGCCCGAGCCGAGAGATATGTGACAGAACCCATATCGCTGCGTGACGGTTGCCACGGTTCTGCGAGGTATGCGAGATCATCGAGTCCGCACCGAGGAAGAAAAAAAAAAAAGTACTTGACGCTGTGGGAGCTTGGAAAGTCCTACCGGAAATCAAAGTCCCGTTTCCTCTCCGTCGCAATGTCGCTTCTCCCACATAAGAGAAGCGGTCAACATTCAGCAAAAGTAGAGTTCCATCTTCATACCGGCGATGCTCGCCAGAACGATAGGCTTTACCGACGCACCCCAAAGCTTAGCACGCTGCGACAATGGGAGAACTCTTGAGCTTGCGGAGTTCTCCCAATCTCAACATCCATCACCAATAACGAACCCCTCTTATTCATTTACCTAGGGCCTCGCGAAGCAACTGAGCTTGTCCGACCTCCCTCTTACCCCACACTCGATGAGAGGTGCCACACCAGAAAGGGGAGGGCCACCCCTGTTCGCGGAAACCCACAGTCTTCTGGAAGCCTGCGACCAACCGGAGTCCAAACAGCGAGCAGGGATGGCTGCGTTTCCGTGTTGATGGAGGGGGGGACGAGATTGGAAAGGGGTTGCCAGAACCTCGTTCGCTGGAGGTCATACTCGCCGCACGTATTGATAAGATCTGAGCTATGGCACTGGGGACATCCCATCTCGTTCTTTTGGCGATATTTGCCGATAATTGTTTTGTGGCTTGTGGGCGGTGCACAAGATGGCGCTCTCCGTCTGTCGTGTCTCGAGGGTCCGTCGGCTTGAAACAGCCTGAAAGATGCGACCAACAGCCTCGTGTAGTGCGTCTCATGTTTGGGCAAACGGGGTGTGGAGGGATCTCTCGGTGACCAGGAACACCAAGACAAATTGCAGATACGCCTTTCTGCCCATGCCTTTGGCATCGGTTCTAGACAAGAAAACCCCTGGATTGTCAGCACTGACAAAACAAGAAAACTTCGGATTTTGAGCCACGGGAGGGTAAAGGCAAGGGTGAGGCGGCGGGAGGTCTGCGGCCAACACATCTCGAAGGTCGGACAGGAACGCAATGCGTTAGGGTTTAAGAGGGAAGGGGTGTAATTGGCAGCGATGCCCTCTCCAACAGCGTCAGGAAGCTGCCGCGGCGAGATTTGAAGCCACGGAGGATGGGCACAATTCGAGTATGGGCGCGCATTGGGGGGTGCTAGGTGCTGGGTGCTGGATGCTGGATGCATGATCGCAGTGCCATGCCACCACGTTGGACGGATCGTGGTTTCGCACCACTG